AATACATCCCCTTTTTAATACAGGACAAGACCCTGCTAGCTTTGTTTGGGTTTGCTGGGTGCCTGAGTATGTTTTTTTTTAAGACAACCAATAGGACAAGGTAAGAGAGAAAAAAGAGCCAGCCAGGAAAATGAGCAGGGAGAGACAGCCAGGAGAGAGAGAGAGGAGAGATATCAAGCAACACATCTGCCTGAAGCAGAAGCCCTGTGACCTTCAAGACTTATCTGCACCCTGTGTTTCAGACACCTCCTTGCTCCCCATGTTCCAGCGCCCCTCCCTGTCCCGTTGCCCCAACATCGTGACATTTTGTATCTAGGCTTCAGTTTGGATGACACCCGGACACAGCACATACAGGACTCAAAACCCAGACTGTCCGGGTGAATCATAACTGTCCCCCATTCATGCTAATGACCGTGTGTGCGGCTGCTTCTGTAATCGGGAGTCTGCATGTAATCATATGTGATATGATTACATGTGGCTTAGAATAGATCACTGTACCCTGGATGCATCTATCATGAGTCCAAGAACAGTGATCTTTTCCAAACCGCATGTAATACAGATGCAGTCACTGTTACCCGGTCATTAACTTGAACAGGTGACACCAGTTGCATCTAAATGGGAGATTTGGGATTCCTGCAGCAGGAATCCGTAGGTTCCTCCTGAAGAAATCCCAAATCGCATTGTGTGAATGAGGCCTTAGATTGGTCTGTTATAGCAACAACTGTATACAAAACAGAAGCCAATTTTAACTAGAGAAATCTGTTAAAGTCATTATATTTTCTTTAGACGAAAAGAAACAAAAAACTAAAAAAAAACCTTAAAGTCAGCATAGAGGCCAAAGTCGAGAAAAATCAAGCCAGACACGGAACACGCATTTCTCATTCCTTTCCCAAGGATGATTCTGTTTGTGAGAACTTATTGAAGAGACTTCACATTTCTGTGACAATATACAGAAATAAATGTCATGTAGCATTGCAAAATATCTCTGATCTGGCACGGGACATGGCTTGGCCGCGGCATGCTTATAATTCATCCAGATTGCATTTTTCCTGTTAGCTTTGAACATTCCATGTTTTTTTTTTTTTTTAAGATTGATTTTGCAAAATGACATCTCAGGAGGATTACTTAAGCACTTTTGACATTCGCTGTGTGTCTCACTTCTTCAATATGAAGTTCAGTTATTTCAGCAACAGATACCTCAAGTGTCAGTAGAAATTTCCTCTCTTGAAAATCACAGAAGGACTCCACAAAGATCAGTCTGATTCTGATTATGTAGTGCTCTCAGTGGAAAGCGTTTAGTGACTACCGCTATCACTTCGATGTAGCTTATTTATCGGCGTCTCTACAGAAGGACTCCCGGCAGATATGTAAAACACACCCTTTAATATACCTCTGTAATCCTTCAAAACTAATAATTTTCTGATTGCCTACAGGAACTCCATCAATCACACCAGCTTAAAGCGCCCATTCCGTGCCAAACAGAAGGCCTGCTTTCTTTGCCAGCCTCCTATCCCAACTGCCCTAGGCAAACGCCTACTTTGCCTCGCGGTAAATACGCCCCTGATCCCAACCACAAATGGTGTTAAAAATTCTCCTATGCTTCCGGGTGCCTCCTGGCAGAGCGGCGAGCTTGAAATCACATGAGATGGCACTCCAGCCCATTGCAGGTATGCATTTTCACCGGATTTTGAGCTCCAAGCTCTACAGTGATGTCACCCGTGCCTGCCAGAAGCCTTGAAGGCCAGAGCAGAATAATATATTTTTTTGGGGGGCAAATGGTTTGGTTAGAATAGGCTTTTTAAAGCCATTTGTATAATTGGTGATGGTAAGGCATGCACTGATACCAGTTCAGATACCAGTACAGATACTTGGCATTTTCATGAGAACTACCAGGGTTGCAGTGGTTGCAGCTGGGACCTGGCTCTGGCACTCCACCACTGTCCTGAAATCATTAGTCTGTATTGTTTTAGAAAAACTGTCACATGACAATAAACAAAAATGTATCAGTACTTGTATCTGTGAGTACTTGGACAAGAATCAGTACTTCTAATGGTATCAGTGCATCACTTATATATATTTATAAAAACAAAATCATACAGAGATGTACGAATCCCAGGAGCTCCGTATGATCCTTACATATGACAGCGGCCTCCTAACCTTTGAATTTTTCTCTAGACTAGTCTTGGAGCTCGAAAAGTACCTGTACTTGTACTGAGTATAGTACTTGGTATCGGTGCATCCCTAGTGGTGGTAGTTGGGGGGGGGGGGTCAAGAAACTGGCAAAAAACCACACCTTCCATTTGGCATGGAAGGTCCTCTTTTGTGTTGACAGTCTTTGTAAGCTGATAGATGGGAGGAAGAAATACTTAGGTGGGTATCTAAAAGGGTTCCCGCAAAGTTGAAGTAGCAAGAAAGAGGCGGGGCAGTGTCATAAACTCTGCAGCATTAAAGGCTGTGAAAGGTTTGTCCCACTGCTGATGTTTTTCTGCCATATAGCATGGCAGAGGTAGGTTCCTCACATGACAAGGGGCCTGATTTACTTAAAGAAGAATTCCAGGTAAAATGTGTATTAACCCTTGTAGTGGGGCTACCCCTGCACTGCTGCAAGGGTTAAATGCTCATTGTTCCCTAGAGTCAAAAATAAATAAAGTTATACTCACCTGATCTTACAAGCTAGCTGGCTCTTAGGCTGCACCCTGGAGCCTCTCTACTCCTTCGCTGTAGTGGTCTAAGGTTCCTCAGTCATCACATTCTATAAACAGTGTATAGGACGTAAGGACTCCATGGGACATACTGTACCATTGCTGCAGCGGTGGAAGAAATAGGCTGGAGGGATCGCTGTCACAGCTGGCCAGCTCCGAGATTCAGGTGAGTATAACATTGATATTTTTAACCCTAGGTGGTGACATCACAGGGAGTAATGAAAACTATATCTTGCTACAGGAACATGGGTAAAGATAAAAAAGGTTGAGACATGCAGAGAGGAGGGAAATGGAGATCTGGGGTTACATTTTGATAATGCCTAGCTGTTAATTCTCCAGCTTTCACTCAGGCACTCCCGCTAATCAGTTCGATTACCAGGTCTCCAGGCCACTGGGAATTCATTCTGACTCTACTGCCAAGTCTGACAGAACTGGCTGGAGCGGCAGTGGCGTAACAACCGGGGGGTGGTGCATCTGTGCTGTGACAGTTCTCTCTCAAAGTCCTAGCCTATTTCTGGCTGTTCTCGGTGCTATTACATATTACATATAACTGGTCGCTCTTTCAGGACCATTGTGCTACTGTTACAAGCTGTTGCTAAGGGAGAAGACATACAAAATTACTGTGCAAAAAATTATTGGTTAAACCCGTAAGTACCTTTTTTTAAAAGTTTATAAAGTGGGGAATAGAGATCAAAAAGTGGGAAAGAGGGAGACTTGGTCCAAATTAGAGAAACTACTTTGAAATGAAGGACTAAACCCAACATAAAAAGAAACAGAAATATTTGATCTTACCACCAAGAAATGCTTCACTAATGTATTTGTCTACACAATGAAGTGAAGATCCTATACTGGCCTTCTGGAAGCAAATTATACACATTCTAGCGGGACTTAAATCACAAATTCACTTTACACATAGCAACACAACTCTACTTTGTTTAATATACTCTATAAACACAAAGAACTTGAGGGCCTTATTCAGCACCTCGTATCTCCATCTCCCACTTCGTATCTCCATCTCCCACTTCGTATCTCCCCTCTCCCACCTCATATCTCCCCTCTCAACACAATTACTAATGGACTCAATCATGGAGATGGAGATGTTGTTAGCAAGTCAGATCGCAGTCCAGAGAGTGCACAATCTATATCGTGAATTCAGAATTACATAAGAACCGCGTATGGTGAAGAGCCACATAGTCCTATGATTAAAGCATGCTGCAGCTGCTGAGGGTTGAAACTGAAAAAGGACGGAGAGTCATCTCATTTTTATTTTCAACAATTGTGAAGATGTTTTGTACACACCAGATACAGTGCTGGAGCATATTATCTCTACATACACGATAAAGGCGACGAACCATCAAAATGCAGCCAATTAAAGTAGACCTCCAATGAGCACAACGGTTGTATCTAAAATAGCAAGATAATGTAAGGCATAGCTATTTTAGAAACAAATGCAAGTTGGAGTCTCTGTGTTTTCTATAATGAGACACAGACAAGTTATCTGGCTGTCATACTGGTGGTTGGCTTCAGTGCTTTCTTAGCTACTGACCTGAAGCAAGTAAAGAAATAAGGTCAAAGATTCATTGCATTTGCGCCCAGGGCCGGATTTACCCTCTGTGCTGCCCCAAGGCCAGGTTCCTTAATGCGCCCCGCACCCCCCTCCCTGCCAACCCCCTCCCAATGGAGAATGGCAACTAGAAGGCGGGGCACCAGGGTGGGTTTTATTTGTTTTGCTTTTATGTTTATTTTTTAAACTTTTTTATCTCTTATTTATTTTTAGAAGGGCTAAATGTAGAAGAAAAACTACCCACCCAACGCCAGGAACTGCATGTCCTGGGCGTCGGGCGATAGGAATTCCACACCCCCGCTGCCCTTCTACTCCCTTTTACTTATTTTTTATTTATTTTTTCACTTAACTTTATTGCTATCACACATGAGCTAACAAACCCCTGTGTGATGGCATTTGGACGAGACAGGTTCTCTTTAATGAACCTGTCACCTCAAATACAGGAGTTTGAGCACAGTACTGTGCTGTCTCTCCTGTGACAGCTCAGATGGGAAGGCTGCGAGTACAGCTCTCCACTTTCAGTGTTTACACGGAACAGAGCGGAGAATGTCCTGCTCTGCTCCCAGCTCATCCATCCTTCGCGTGGTTCTGGGTCCCCTAGAAGAGCGGGAGACCCCCGAAAACCATGTCTGGGAGGGAGGCGGCCAGCAAGGAGAGAGGCGGCCGGGGGGGGGCAGACCTGCAGACTGCATACAAGTGATCTCGGCGACATCGCTAAAATCACTTGTACAAACCAAGTGGCAGCTTCCCCCCTGTACATTTAGGTCTAGTTGTCGAAGCAGGGCTAAATGTAGAAGAAAAACTACCCGCCCAGCGCCAGGAACTGCATGTCCTGGCCGTCGGGCGATAGGAATTCCACACACCTGCTGCCCTTCTACTTTCTGCTGCCCCAAGGTCGGGCCTCTGTGGCCTTGTGGGAAATCTGGCCCTGTTTGTGCCATTTCTTCCTGACCTTATGGTACCACCGCCTGTGGCTGTGCAAACCCTTAGAAGTTCTGGGTGTAGGGTGGCATAGTTTCCAAAGTGTCCCTCTTTCTGCAGGCCAGTCCCCACTCTGCAAATTGTACCCGCAGTACATAACGTGTTACTGCAAGAGGCACATTTACTACACCAATATTTTTTCTATGTCCTCCCAACATTTCTTGAAATGGGGGCAAATATGAAATTCTGTCATGATTAGCATTTATATCAATAAAAGTGCTTTAGACATTTTGATGGCATTTATGTGTGTATTTGTTTTTCTTTTACTGTTACTAAAAGGTATTTCCCATCTCAAATAGGTGGGAGGCACGTCCTTACTATTTGTGGCTCTGCACAATAAATAAAAAGGCATCAATAAAGTCATCGGCAGAACACACATGCTGCCTAACACTTCCTCGTCTAAGCGGTTAAATTGACCAGCTGAAGACGAGGTAACCTGCTGTGATCGGAACTTTTGCTTCAGCTATCAGGGGAATTCTAAAAATAGAATGAAAAGTCTTCTGCGTGCAATGAAAGTGCGCAGATTGTGACTCACTGTCCCCAATCCCCGGGCAGAGAGAAAAAAAGAAAGACATCACTCGTGAATATAAAAAAGGATAAGAGCTACAAAGGAGAGGAATTTCATTTTCACAGAGCGATGTATGGGACGTGCGTCTAGAGATAGACATCTCTTTCAGATGCAGTAAGATGACACCAAGACTGGCTGCAATATTAAGGACACCAAACTCATATTAAGGACACCAAACAAATATTAAGTGACACCAAAATTAGGAGTTAAATCTTAAAAATACATTCAAGTACCTTTACTATTAACAAAAATGTATCTTATTTGTATATCACTCGGCTGTAGATCCTCCCATCATCTCTGAATTGGTGCTGACACTGTCCTTCCTTCTGGAGGGGGGGCTACTTTTGTTCCCCATGGTCCCTCCATAGTTGTTGTCAAACTCCTATCGGCCTGCAAAATGGACGTTTTGCAGGCTGATAGGAGTTTGACAACAACTATTAAGACGGCACTGTTACAGGTATACCGGCAAAATAAAATGCAGAGGGATCACTTTGTACAGGGGGACCCTAGAGAGAAATATGCAAAATGCGCAGATAGGACCTCAAATAAAACAGCTTTTTTATTGAAAAATATACTTTATTTATATCATAAAATATACAAAAACAAGTTACACATTCGGGGTACACTCTACCCTGTACTGCGACGCAGCGCATAAACACTACATAGCAATACATTACAATCACACTAATAAATTACATTCACCCCACGGCGAGATGCCTGAAATGTAGCACAAGACAAGTATCCTGGGCCCTCCACCACAAATAAAACAGGTTGTTATAGATACCACTATTGCAACTGTGTCTACACACTTAAATGCCCCTGTTTATTGGTGTGAGTGGGTAAGACCACAGGTCCATTTAAAAGCCGATTCCAAAAACATCAGAGCAACATTAGGACCACTATGAGGTATGTTACTAATGGTGAAGATTTGGATAAGAACAAACCAGTAGCCATTCACTTTGGAATACAAACTCCAAGTACACTGTGTTTGTATTCCAAAGTGAATGGCTCATTCCAAAGAGGGATGGCCATTGACCACATACAGGCACACCATAGAGGTGGGAATAGAGATATTCAATTTTGATGCAGGGAGGAATTTTGGATACCATCCCTGGATACTGTGGCCCTCGGGGCCTGCATACCAATTCATCTTACACATGTTTTTGACTGATAGATAATGCGGCAGCTATTCTAACTCTTTCCCACTCCACTAAATGAATGTGCCTTGCAGCCACCTCTGTGCTAGTCGTAGAGAAATGTCATCACTTCATGTCCTGGCTGGTGAGAATGAACGCCCTCATATTCCTACACTGAGAGGTCTCCTTTAAATCTGAGATCCCTGGGCCGCAGTGATCAGTCAAGACAGATACTGTATAGAACAGCCGGGTTTTGCTGTTACACTTCGCACATGTGATTACGTGCCGTTCCCTCCTAACAATCATCAGATTCAATCCTCCTTCGTGCTCATTACACTCTGCGGAAACTTGCACTTCGTTTCGCTCGCCGGAGATATTGGATCTGTTCCAGCGGAGCTTGCAGTAATTCACACTGGGCAGGGAATTTCACACTCAAATATTGGACAAAAGCTTGTGCTAAATTGATGCATTTCCTGCAAATCCATAATACACGGCAAGAACATTGAACACATTAGTATTTCTGGCTGACCGTTGAAGGTATAAATCATGTTTAGGATATTTAAAGAGACCCTGTCACCAACAAAAAAAAAAATACTGGCAAAACACAGAGAAATCAAGTATTTGAAATGCATACTTGCCATGTTTTTGTCTTTCCATTAATTTTTTTTTTATTTACTTGCAATATGTCTTTGAACTTGCTTGAAAAATAAGACTACAAGAGAGTCAATTCTCTAGTGCAGCCTCCTACAGTCTTTCATGTCATAGTCCTTTCCTCTTCTGGGAGGCAGAGCACCTTCAGCTCCCTACATAAAACTTTTATGCAGCTGCAGGAGAGGAGTGACATTGAATACTATAGAGTGTCACTTAGGTGACAGTTTTGAGTCTGCTCGGGCTGCTGATATCAAATCCAAGATGGCGGGACATGGCAGCACTCTCAGGGCTTTCCGATGTCTCCACAAGGTAGGTTTCACAGGCATGCATAGAATACATTAAATGCACATATGATCTTATAGGAAGAAGGTCTGGCGACTAAGTTCCTTTAAGTGAATCACTTACCCTGGAACAATCAATGAATTCACAAGTCTTGACCAACATGGTTCTTCTAGGGCAGTGACCCAACAGGCCAATCCCTACCCCCCTCAGGTGGCAAAAAGTGTAGAGACACCCCTGGTCAGTTCACCTAAAACTGATATTTCCCATACTGATATTGATATTTGTACTGGAAATTGAACCCCCTAACAGTATTCTCTGTCTCTCTGAGTATTTACTTGTGAGTTCCTGGGTCTGCATACCTTCTGTGCCCATTATGAGGGGTCCCACCACCCCTGATGGTTGTTCTCTGTATTTTATACTACAGAGAATGTTACAGAAGGAGCTGGAACACACACCGATGGACAGGAACAGCCATGAATTAAGGCAGGGATTTTGCTGTTGGAGCTTTCAAGACACGCTAAGGCACCAATCTCCAACTATGACTAAAGTATCACATTTTCTTGCACGTTTGTTTTTAAAAGGAATATAATAATTCTTCCATTAAACAAACTAATTTTAATTTGGGTCAGTTCTAGTGTACGCACATGAGAGTCCTTGGGAGCAGAACCATGACTGGACCTATGCAAGAATTTGAATATTATTATTATCTTTTGTTATTATAACTGTCCTGGCTGAAAGATTTATATTTTCTGCTTTTATAGCTTTAACTTTGTACCAAGCCTGACACTTCAGTTAGACAGTTCTGCATGTCAGATGATGCCTGGCCTCATACACTGCACATTGAGAAAACAGGCGATAGTGAGGTCATACAGTTGACAGGCCACCAACTTTCAGACTGCATGTGACCTCTGGCTGTGACAGTAATTCCCATATTTCTGCCCTAATGGGTTGCTTTCAAGTTTTGAGCAGCTTAATTCTATTAATCCATGCAAACCAGTGATGACATCTTTAGCCAAGTACACTATATCATAAGAGGCTCTGTTATTCAAATTCCAATTTCAGCTGGGCTCTAACCTATCTCACTTCCCACGCCATAACATTGGCTAACAGCTAGTGTATGACTGATGATCTCACTGGCCAACAGGCTGCCTCCTTTTGTGGGTATGGATTGTTTTGGGGGTGGCTGGGACATAGATGTAAGTTACAAATTATGTCAGTTTTGATATTACCCACCAAACACAATTGCCCATCACCTTCCATCATCTTCCCTTATAAAGTGTATGTATGTAACAGACTTACCTGTCCCCCACTCCATGATCGGCCCAGGCTTCTGCCACGTCATCGCGGACGTCACCAGGCCCCTTCTCTGGCTTTTTAAGCTACAGGATTCAATTCCCCGACGCTCGAGCAAGAAAGAAGACACCGGGAAATACCGCTCCAACCCCGCACGCTGAACCTGCCTTATACCTGTCTCAAACCTGCCTCAACCTCAAGCTTCACTCCCTTAACAGCGTTACTGGATTGTATACCTGCCTCAGACACCCTGATCTCTGCAGACTCTGAATATTGCCTCAATCTCAAACTTCCCTCCCTTGACAGAGTTACTGGATCATATTTCCTGCATGCCAGTTCTACCATTGTGGAGCAGCACCCCTAACTGCCTATTGGGGTTACGTTCCACTTAGCAACCACAGAGATCATTCACTACAAAGGACTCTTGACAAGTCTACCTGGGGATAAGTCCGAGTTCCAGATAGATTGCCAGCGCAATACTTCTAAACTGCAAGTACTAAATATACCAAACGAAATATCAAATGACTGCCTATGAAATACTCCCTCCGATATAAAATATCACCTCACTGTTCTACTATCAAGTTGATTGCATGTTGAATATTCCTGATTGAAACTGCTTATTTATCCATCTGCATTACTCAGAGGGAGTATGTGTGATACACTTCGCACACTTGCAATCTGTTAGCCTGTGATACACTTCCCACACTTGCATTCTATTAGTCTCCAGGGAAGCTGGGTATTATTATTATTATTATACAGGATTTATATAGCGCCAACAGTTTGCGCAGCGCTTTACAATATATAACTCATTGCCTAACGCAAGTTAAACCCCT